TTAGATGTACTATTGGAGGTGGGTACCAAACATTGGTGTGGAAGGATAAGTGGATACTGGATAATGTACCTCGAGCAGCGAGGTCAACTATTCCAGTACAAAATCCTTAGTTGCGGGTCTTAGATTTTATTGATCAGCAAACCAAGTCGTGAAACATGTCGATACTCAGAAGGTGTATAACACTAGATTTATGCTAGCACTATACAAACTCTGGTTTGTACACAGTCCGATCGGGTTACGAGATAGCTAGAGAGGACTCGGATGCATACATGCATTTTTTGCTCAAACAACTTTATTTTGTTTATTGGTTATCAGATACGAATAAAGTATTTGGTTAATCATTAAATGAAGTATGTTTTATGATTTACAAAAAAAAATAAATAAAAAAATCTTATATAATATAGTAAGGTTTTTCAAAGTTTAAGCCATGAGAGACTGCCATGTGTCATCTAAATTTTTGACATTTACCTTTTGAAATTATTTATTGAAAAAAAAAGAAAAGTTAAATAACTTTAGCAATTAATTCTAACAATTAAATAGCTAATTTTTATGTAAATTAATTCTAACAATTTAAAATTAAGTATTTTGTGTACATTTATGTAATTCTTATGTAAATTATAATATAATTTTTATGTAAATCAATGTATAGAAAATAGATATTTTATTTATCAAATCCAACAATATTATATTTTTTTGGCCTTTTATATAGGTTATTGCGATTTTAAAATTAAAACAAATCACAAAAGAATAACTTTTATAAAAAGAAGCATAAATGAACCCAAAAAAGTTGATGTGAGAAAATTAATTAAATAATGATTTTATGACTTTTAGGGCTGTTAAATCCAACAAGTCTAATTGGAGAAATATAGAATTTAAACGTTTTTATATGCTTTTGTAGCTTTTAAAGCTAATTTACCAATCATCTCTAATGCAATTAAAACAATTTGTGTTGGACAAAGTAACGTTCTCAACCAAGACTCTCGATAGAAAATTTACTCCATCACAAATTGTAAATCCAGTAAAATAGCAATGAATTGATGTAAAAGATAAAAAATCACAGCAAAACGATAAATAGAGTAAGACAAAAATACAATCAAGTATCAATTATTTCCTCCTTATGATTAAAGTTCTACAAAAAGATGTATTCTAGCACCGCTATTGAGATCGATGATGTATATGTCCCGATAGAACCAAAACATACTACAACTTGTACGATCAATAGATTTTTTACAGATGTATTTGATGCAAAAAAAGATGACCAACCATTTTTATTTAGGAAACCGTAATTAATATTGATTCAGATATAAAATTTAAAGATTTGTGTCAAAGAAGATGTCTTCCATATTCTGTAAAATTTACTAATGAAAGATTTATTTCACTACAAGAAAACATGGCCATTTGCAAAGACAGTTTGCGACCACTTATTATTTAGCCTTAGAATATCGTAAATATCCAATAATTTGATACATTTACTAAGTTTTCTAACTTAAATAATTATTTACTATAAAATATAAACACCAAATTTATATAATATTAAATACAAAATAATCAATAATTAAAAATTATTATTGTTAATTTTTAAACTCCACGCATTTTGTAATTTCTAGTAAAGAATAGAGTATAAATTCACTAGTTCTATCGGGTGCGTCGGTAAATCGATTCAGCACCACCTAGGGTCAAATCTTAATTTAAACAATTTTGGCTAATCACGTTACCCAATATCCAATAACAAACAAGAATCCATATTTTTAATTTCTTTTTAAAGGTTGGAGTTTCGTACAGATATACAATTACCATCCTCAGCGAGACAAAAATCGTGAGGCTATAAT